TATTTTTGTTTCTCAGACTGTTTTTTATGCTGAACTAGCAGAAAGACAAGCTGCCCATTATCACCACTTTTCAGAAATCATAGCCCAATTTGTTTCAGTAGTGAGATATTTTGGTATGGTCCTATTTCAAAAGAAATAAATTACCATGCTTTTGGGATAGTTTTAGTTACAAATTTCATCAACTTGTTTTTATCAATTCTGTCTATGAACATTGTATTTATGTAAGTGGTCAAAGGGTGGCTTGTTGATGTAAGGCATGAAAAATCTCATAGAAGAGTTATGCCCCTTAGCTGCCAGGATCTGCTGATCATGAGTTTGAATCCCTGATTCGCCCAGATTATCACCCTTGGTCAATCAGCACGACACCTGTGCTATTTCCACTAAGGTTGTAAATGTCTTTTAGCAGTATCACCATGACATCCTGCTACATTATGATGACACACTGTAGTATAGGGGCGGTCAGGTAGCCTAGTGGTTAAAGCATTTGCTCGTCACGCCGAAGACCCGGGTTCGATTCCCAACATGGGTACAATGTGTGAAGCCCAATTCTGGTGTCCCCCGCCGTGATATTGCTGAAATATTGCTAAAAGCGGCGTAAAACCATACTCATTCACTCACTCACTCACTCACTGTAGTATAAATGTAATACTGTTCAAAGTAGGGCTGGGACGGGTAACTCCGGTACCCCGGTCGGGTACTGAGTAGTACACGGGTACCCACAGGACTACCCGGACCCGTGGTTAGTCACGTGATATATTGTTTAATGACAAAAAATATCTAGAACCCTATGGTTGAACTAAAAGTCACTAATGTTTCGCATTTCTTCCTGACTATTCCTTCTGATTTTTCATATTGTTGAAAAAAGATATAACTTAATTCAACTTCAGTGTATGAATGACCAGATTGTTTCATACGTGTATCTAAATACGTTTTTGGCAGGGCTATGCTAAAAATGTTCCCAATCAGACATTTTGAGACATCTCCAGAGATCTACAGTGGGTACCCGGGTAGGGTCGGGTAATAGGGGGGTGGGTACCCGGGTAGTAAATTTGGACTCATCCCAGCCATAGTTCAAAGTAATGTTATCTCAGCTCACTTACTCATTCATAACCATGTTTATGACTTCATCCAAGAACAGTTGCCTTGCAATGATGAACTCAGCAAAACTCCGGCCTTGGCTATCTGATGATCACTCTTTGTTCGTAATTCTTTCACCTCATTTGATCAACAATTTAGGTGTGATAAGCCCCTTATCCAGCTGACCATGCTGTCAGACAACAGAACAGGCCCTCCCTTGATTCCCCCCTGATCCTGTAATCAGCTTCAGTCTGTAGTCTCCATGACTAATGTTATTGTGCTGACTGAAGAGGAGGTACTTGAGAAGCATCAGGGCATGGTCTTAGCCTTGTCAGCTTCATGGAGCAGTGCTGGGAGTGGGGACAACAAGATGTATTGAGGGGTGGTGGGCAGGACCTGAGGGTGGTGGATAGCAGGGTGGGGTTAGGCGATGAGGGTTGTTAGGGGTGGGGTTAGGTGATGAGGGTTGTTAGCAGGGTGGGGTTAGGCGATGAGGGTTGTTAGGGGTGGGGTTAGGCAATGAGGGTTGTTAGGGGGGGGGTTAGGCGATGATGGTTGTTAGGGGTGGGGTTAGGTGATGAGGGTTGTTAGGGGGGGGTTAGGCGATGAGGGTTGTTAGGGGTGGGGTTAGGCGATGAGGGATGTTAGGGGTGGGGTTAGGTGATGAGGGTTGTTAGGGGTGGGGTTAGGCGATGAGGGTGGATAGCAGGGTGGAGTTAGGTGATGAGGGTGGATAGCAGGGTGGGGTTTGGTGATGAAGGTGGATAGCAGGGTGGGGTTAGGCAATGAAGGTGGTTAGGCTGGAGTTAGTTGATGAGGGTGGATAGCAGGGTATGGGATGGGTGGGTAGGGGTGGGGTAAGGAGGGGAGGGTAGGTAGCCAGGGTAAGGTTTGGTTAAGAAAAGATCCTCTCTCCCACCCACCCCACCACCTCCCCAAAAAACCAAAACACCCCACTGGATCCACATGTGTATGGAAGAGGGAGGAGGGGATATAAGGCTGCATATGGGTCAGTACATATCAGTATTTTGCAAGATGGAAGGGGAGGGTTCGTTTACAGCAGGAGTTGTGGGTGATTCAGGGCTCACTTAATGATAGGTTCAGAGCAGATGTGTGGGCAGTGTTTAAATGGGGGAACATCTGGCAAGTCACAATCAATAAGTTCCACTTGTAATCACCTTTGTCTGATGACATGACCCCATCAACTTCCCCCCACAGACTTGTACCTATAGGGTGGTCCACAGCAGTCACTTTCTGGTCAGGAGGACAATAAAACACATTCATGTAACTCTGTGACAGTCAGTTGTGTCTGATGTAAAGCCCTGTCCACTCACGCTGACCTGTTATAGCATGCCATGCATTGTGATTGATTGTTTGTCGTAGTGGACAGTGACTGAGTGAGTCATTCAGTCATGATGAGCCCGATAATGTCCAGAGGCCAAGTCCACTGTTACTGTAAAGCTGGGGACAGTATTTTGACTAAGGCTGTAACACTACACTCTTAGTTGCAATAGGATGTGCATCTTCATAGTAAGGTGATGTAAAGGTACGTATCTCCATAGTGGAGTCATGACACAATTCATATATCCATAGTAAGGATAGGATACATATCTCCATAGTAAGGATACAATAGTATCTCCATAGTAAGGATACGATACATATCTCCACAGTAAGGATACAATAGTATCTCCATAGTAAGGATACTATAGTATCTCCACAGTAAGGATACAATACATATCTCCATTGTAATGATACAAAACATATCTTCATAGTAAGGATACGATACATATCTCCATAGTAAGGATACAATAGTATCTCCATAGTAAGGATACGATACATATCTCCATAGTAAGGATACAATACATATCTCCATTGTAAGGATACAATACATATCTCTATAGTAAGGATACGATACATATCTCCATAGTAAGGATACAATAGTATCTCCATAGTAAGGATACGATACGTATCTCTATAGTAAGGATACGATGCATATCTCCATAGTCAGGATGCAATATACATCTTCATAGTAAGGTCACGGTATGATACATATCTCCATAGTAAGGATACAATAGTATCTCCATGGTAAGGATACGATACATATCTCCATAGTAAGGATACAATAGTATCTCCAAAGTAAGGATACGATACGTATCTCCATAGTAAGGATACGATGCATATCTCCATAGTCAGGATGCAATGTACATCTTCATAGTAAGGTCACGGTATGATACATATCTCCATAGTAAGGATACAATAGTATCTCCATGGTAAGGATACGATACATATCTCCATAGTAAGGATACAATAGTATCTCCAAAGTAAGGATACGATACGTATCTCCATAGTAAGGATACGATGCATATCTCCATAGTCAGGATGCAATGTACATCTTCATAGTAAGGTCACGGTATGATACATATCTCCATAGTAAGGTCACGGTATGATACATATCTTCATAGTAAGGTCACAGTATTATTCATATCTCCTCTGTAAGGCCACAGTGGGCAGTTGTCCGCACAAGTCAGAGATGTCAATCTGATAAATTCAAAACATTTTGGGTTGCCATATTAGGCAATAAAATTGTTCATGAAAATTATGAAATATTTGGGGTTTGTACATGACAATTATGATGTTAATGCATTTATAATTATTTGTTTTGTTTCATTATCATTTGTCATTTATCAAATTGTCCAAAAATATTTCATGATAATTCTTATTTATCATTGAGTTATATTGATGATGATAAGCTATGGAAGCAGTTGTCATTTTACATGTAACACCAACGACTCACACTAAGCTCTGATAGTGAAAGCCGGATGTGTAGCTCGGCATGGTAGTTTATATATGAACATCTTGATATTGATGTGCCTGTTAACTATGACACAGATACATTGTGTTACAAGGACCATTGTGTGAGATACGTGGTCGTATATCACAGCCCACAGTAGCAATATATTCTCATTTTATGGCTAGTTTATGGACTCTGATCTAAATGTACATATTGATTGATTACATGCCTATCTCATACAATTATTTTGACTTATGAATATTCATTTGTTTGAGTTTGATGATCTATTGTCATCTTCTTTTGGATTATTTCATTTTCAAGTTGACTTGTGAATTTCACCTTCTATATTCTTCCAATGTGTTGCTTGGTAAAGATGCTGATATCTTCATCATGCAAAAATATGGCACCAACATCTGTACAAAAATGTTGTATTGAAAGAATAGAAAAATTGACATCTGTAAGTCATTTCAGTCTTCATTGATCCTAAAGCTTCTAAAATATATCGTTATATTGATGATCATTAGATTTGTAATCATCACCTTCACAATTTTCACCTTACTGCAAAATTTGACCCGTGAAGGTCCGGTAAGAATAGGTCTTCAGCAACCCATGCTTGCCATAAGAGGTGACTGACGGGATAGGGTGGTCAGGCTCGTTGACTTAGTTGATGCATTTGATCGTATGCCAGTTGCGTAGATTGATGCTCATGATGTCAATCACTGGATTGTGTGGTCCAGACTCGTTTACTGTGTGGTATATATAATTCCACTGGGGTTGGGGTGGGGGGAGTCACATTGATTTTGAGTCGCACTTTTGGCTAGGGGTCAGCATTCGTATCAATTTGGAGACGCATTTCAAGATCTACAGTATTACAGACAGCTGGTATATTGCTGAGTGCGGTGTTAAACAACAAACAAACAAGTAAAGCATAGTTGACCTCAAAGCTTTTTCCCAATTGCCTCTAGTCATATAGTCATTAACTTCAAAGTAAACATTACAAGAGATTCCTCATACAAGCAAGGGCAAGCAGCTTTATTATCCGGCTGTCGAAATGTCCAACATTCTGACGGGCATGTTTTGGCATAATGAGATTAACTGTCACCTCTGACCTTGTCCTTGATTCTCGTTCCAGATGATGAACAGTTTGACAACAATGTGGACATCGCGGGCAAGGGCCGCAGGTATGGTGTTTACAGGTATGTGCATGCTGCCACGCCCTTTCACTTCTTGTCTGTGACCCCCCGTCTCATGTCCCTGTACCCCCCTGTCTCATGCCCCTGTACAGGGGCTGTCCATTGGAATGTGTTGTATGTACTTGACCTAACTCTCAGTCTTCACCTTTGACCTTGGATGTGCACACAGGCAGTTATTATTGTTTGTTTATGATTCAGGTATTTAGTGATCACAACATCAAACAAAATGACACAAAATGACCCCAATGCTGTTCTCCCTCCCCACCTAACTACCCCTCAGGTCACTGTAGAGGTAAATAATGCTTTATCTCATTGCGAGTCAGGTGGTATTCTGACCTACGTTAACCCCTTTGTCCTGGAGGTGGGATATACATGGTATAAATGTTCGTAAAGCTTGATCAGAACAGTGATACTACAAATGTCTGACCCAGTGCAATGTATCAATGGCAAGTTAATATATCAATCATTGACATAGGTCCATGCTAACAAGTTTTATTGATATTGATGTGCCTGTTCATTGACACAAGTAGTGACATTCATACACTTTATGTCAGACTGTAATCGGGACGGCCTCCATGGTCTAGAGGTAGAGCGTCCGCCCGGAGAGCGGAAGGTCCGGGGTTCGATCCCCAGCCGCGTCATACCAAAAGACGTTAAAAGATGGTACTTGTTGTTACCCTGTCTGGCGCTCGGCATTAAGGGGCTAAAACAAGGACTGGTCGGCTCGGAGTCAGTATGCTGTATCTGAGTGGGGTATTCATGTTAAACTGTGCCATGGTATCTCAGTGTGCTAGCACTATAAATCGGCATCAGTCCGGACTAGTACAAGCAGCCACACACACACACACACACATACACACATACACGTACATGCACATCGCTATATAAGTGCAATAATCTTGGACGCGACTTTAAACCCCATTTCACCTCACCTCACCTCACCTGTAATCAGGGCCACGGGTGGAACGCAGAAAGCTTAGGTGAACCTGATATCGATACTATCGATATTATGTGTCTAGGGTTAAGAGCACCATACCTGTTCATATGGATTCACCAAAGTGATGACTGCCTGAAACCTGTGCTTTCTTCACACATTAAGCTGACATGCCGTTCTATTGGATTACTGTTCAAAGTTGCATTAAGTCCACTATGATCTTCTCTTAACTTTAAAATTTCCCCAATGGAATCTTTTGAACTTTTGAAATGGCAGTTGTGTATAACAGTTAATACAAGTAGATTATAATTACTGTTTGAATCAGTATCATAAACACCATGCAGTATTCATTTTATGATGCTGTTGTGTTGCTTTGACTGAGATCATCTTCCTGAGGCAAGGGAGGTAACCGACTATAAAAGGGGGCACGGGTGGCCCAGTCGTCAAAGGCGCCGCGATTCGCTGTGCAGAGTTACGTCCCTTGGACACGCCAGAAACCTATGATTGTGGGTTTGAATCCCGGTTCGCCCCGATTACGTTTCTAGGTTTGTCAGCACCATACCCGTGCTCGTGGGTTTCACCGAAGTGGTAAATGTCTGAGACCTGCATCCCTTCGGGCTATCCTCCCACATTTAGCTGACACGTCGTGATATAACTGGAATACTGTTAAAAACGGTGTTAAACCCGACTCACTCACTCACGCAACTCACTGATTATAAAAGGCCAGTTTCAACCTTTGACAAACTAGGCTGGAATTTCTGGGCTCGATCGTAGTGCCACCAGTGGCTATTACAAAACTCCATAATTCCAGCTGAGTTCAGCAAGGGTGGAAACTGAACTTTTATAGTCAGTTAACTCCCTTGTCTCGGGAGGATTGACTGAGATTGAAGTTCATGACATGCATGTTGGGCTTGTTAGGGTTAATGTTTGTCCTTCCCTGCCTTGGTAAATACACACATCAGTTTGTTATGTGCTCTTGGAGATAGTCGGACATAATTTATGGAGTCACAGTCTTCACCTAAATAGGATAACTTAATGTAGATGGTGAGATCAACAGTTTTGCAAGGAAATAATTGCAATTTAAATTCACTTTCTAGATTCACTTTCAAGTAATGATATGAATAATACACCAACTGTGGCCAAATGACAATTCCTGTTTCTCTGTCCCTACCTCACCCCTATTACCAAAAAGACCCCCACCCCATCTACCCTTTCCTCAATTCTCCCACCCCACCACCCCACCACCCCACCACCCTAACCCTAACCCCTGCCACAGTACTATTCCCTGTTTCAGTTCTTTCATTTCGTCCTACCCCTCCTCCACCCTACCCCTATTACAGAATGCACCCTACCAATCTACCCATACTAAGCACAATCACTCCCACCACCCCTACACCTATACTGGACTCACCTCCCTCCCTCCCTCCCTCCCTCCCCCCCTCCCCACCCACCCACCACACATCACCCCCGCCATCAAGATGGCTTTGGGCATGCATTACTGAAGACCCCTTCCTCATTGTCCTCAGCAATATTCCAGCTATATGACAGCGGTCTGTAAATAATCGAGGCTGGACCAGACAATCCAGTGATTGGCATCATAAGCATCGACCTATGAAATTGGAATACGATGACATGCATCAACCAAGTCAGCAAGCCTGACAACCTGATCCCGTTAGTCGCCTCTTACGACAAGCATACTCGCCTTTTACAGCAAGCATGGATTGCTGAAGACCTATTCCTGGTATCTTCACGGGTCCACGGTATATTGAACATTTTTTATGCAGGAAATAAGAGGTTTACCAGGAATACGCAGATCCTCCCTTACCAGCAAACTGATCCTCCCTTACCAGCAAACTGATCCCCCCTTACCAGCAAACTGATATGCCCCTTTGGAATTCCCATTGTAACTACCACCTACTTGACTGCTCACCCATGAAGATCCGGGTTAGAATAGGTCTTCAGCAACCCATGCTTGATGTAAAAGGCAACTATGCTTGTCGAAGGAGGCAACTAACGTGATTGGGTGGTCAGGCTCGCTGACTTGGTCAGTGCATGACATCGTATTCCAATTTCATAGGTCGATGCTTGTGATGTCAATCACTGAATTGTCTAGTCCAGATGCGATTATTGACAGACCATTGTCATATAGCTGGAATATTGCTGAGTGCACAGGAGTGTACAGGAGACCATCTGTCAGTGTGTGTTCCTAAGTGGTGCTTGTATCCCATACATTGTTGTGGCCCATTATAACGTACTGGCACTTGAATCAGCAGGAAACACTCCCGCGTCCTCTGCTGTCCAGTGTAATGTCCCAGCAGCCATGTTGTTTCCTTCTCATGTTGCTTTCAACACAAACACATTGATGTACAGCGTTAGAAATTGGCACTTGTCCTGTAGTCCTTACCAAACTGCCCAATGGTAAAGGTATCTTAAGGACTAGTAGAAATTGGCCAATTTTAAGGGTTTTGCTATATGTTATCATTATAAGGACAAGTGGACAAAAACTGTTGGTTTCTACCCCTGATGTAGATCATTCACTACATGATGTTTTCTAGCCCTGTACCTTAACCATGTTCACTGCGGTATATTTATGTTAATTGTAACAAGTCTATGTTATAAAAATAATAAGTGTCTGAGATGAAATTTGTAAAAAAACAATTAAAAGAGATAAATTTATTGTGTACAAAGAGATTTCATAGAACTGTATGTTCTTTATTGGGATGAGGAATGCAGTAAGGATGTGCGGTATTATCGGTATATCGGCAAATTGAGGTTCATTCTTTCCACGATAAAGAATCACAATATCATTTGTTCATGCTCGATATATCCGGTGATCTTAAATAGCGAGTTTTTAAAGCAAGATGGCTGCATATTTATTGACTGAGTAAACATGTAGTACCAGCATTTCGTTTTGTTCCATTTATGAACTTCAGTTCATACCTTAATGTATCAGACTGCTGCCGAATTCAAAATTCATAATTATACAATATATCGTGTTACATATCACAATACGGCCTTGTGCATTGCAAAATATTGTGATACACTTTAAACCTCGCAATACCCATCCCTAGAATGCGGGGAGGGAATGGGGGACAGGGGACAGGGGGGTGGGGGGAACATGGTGGACGAGCCATCTATTCACGGTGCAGAGCTGCTTGCCTAAGCAAGCCAGAAACCTGAGTTGATGGTGATGGGTTTTATTCCTGATTTGACCCAGATTCTATTTCTAGGTTTGTCAGCACCATACAACTGCAAAGAAGTTGTATAAACATAGCAGTTTAAAAATAGAGCTTTGCCTGCATGTTTCATTGTGTGTCATTTTCTGACTTCACACAATTGTAGGCAATAACCGGCCCTTGGGATCCCAGATTTCTCAAATTATTTATCAGTAAACAGCATGAACAGAAATTTTGAGCAGGGTACTTCACTATTCCTGTTCCCTTGTGATCCTGATTATTAATATAACGTTCCTCTGACTCTCAGAAAATCCATCACTAAAGCCATGCTTGCATGTGACAGGATTTGTTTTCATGCAAACACTCTGTTGATCTCTGATAACTCTCCTGCAAGAAACAGCTGTCACATGTGATACTACCTTCCTAACAACCTGTACAGTTCATCTCCTGAACTGAAGTACTCATGCAGACACTCTATTAATCTCTGACAGATCTCATGCAAGATATAGATGCTACCTTCCTAACAACCTGTGCAGTTCATCTCCTGAACTGAAGTACTCATGCAGACACTCTATTAATCTCTGTTATATCTCATGCAAGATATATATGCTACCTTCCTAACAACCTATGCAGTTCATATCTTGAACTGAAGTGCTTATGCAAACACTGTTGATCTCTGATTAAACCTCTGCAAGAAATAGAAGTCACATGTGATGCTACCATCCTAACAACTTTTTCAGTTCAGCTCTTGAACTGAAGTGCTCATGTGAACGCTCCTTTTCCTCTAGGAGCACTTGTTTACCAATTTGAAGTTTATGGATGTTAATCATTTTTGTGGATTACCATAAACTATTCCCTTCTTCTTGCACCAACCAACCTTAACACTTAATAGATATGTTGTAATATCTTATCTCATCACACATTGTTTGCTGTCAGGTGAATAGCATGAGATAATGAAAAGTCGCTGAATGTGCAGCTTGTATGGGTTTTTCAGAAAATAGGAATGAATGGGTGATAAGAGATGAAATACAGGTATTCTTTATCTTATCAAGAAAATACAAGGCTGCATGTTATCATGTGCACTGATGTCACGCTCACATGCATCATCTAGTGTGTTGTTATATTTTTCCGTGTCCATCTGTTTATTTGTTATGTTTGTGTTTGACGATAGATTTTTATTGTCAAAATATACAAATGATATCTTTATTTTTGTTATTGTCTGAAGGAAACAAAACTAAAGAAAAAGTGTTTTTCTTCCGGACATGTGTAGGAGTTACTTCCTGTCTTATGTTGACCTACTTTTATTTCTGAAATCAGTTACCATATTTGAAGTATTAAGCGCCCTAGGTCTCAGAAAATCGACACGTATTAAAAACTTGCACAAGTTAGAATTGTTTTCAGAGATTGAGTAGCAGAGAACAGAAGTGGGTCAAACATCCATGAAACTAAAACGTTTTCAATAATAATTATAAGACAGTTACATACTCCACTGTTGTGTTTACTATAAATAGATCTGTTATATGCACAACGAAATATAAATAGGGGCATCAATTTTCAGATTTATTCGGGGCGCCAGAAATTACGCACAGAATGGTCCAGAATTTGGCCAAGGGGTGTTTACTGCAGCAGGGGTATTAATACAGTATACATGGTTACTAATTTCTCAAATTAAAATATTATTTTGTTTTTTTGTTTTTGAAATTCTCAATCTATGGCTGAGTTTCCAGAAATAAATTGTGGTATTACCATGCCGGCTTTAGGACTGGAGCCCAATGTTGAATGAGAAAGGCACTGAGAAAAGAGGGTAACCGAATAAGCGATGGCTGCATGTAATGTCAGATTTTGTTTCAGAATCTATATTTGTTGTTTATGTGTGTTTAGTTTCAGCATTTAGTATTTCCATTGATCGTATTTCGTTGTCTTGAATTTTAGAAAATAATTTGTTTATATTAAGTCATGTTCGTTAAACCATATTTGAATGAAATATGAGATTTTTGTTCAGAAACCATGGTCATGTAGTCCGTCATGGTCATATTGTGCATGGTCCAAGGACTCCTGTCTTCACATTTTGTTTATGTCTTCATGTTCATAGCATCAATGTTTAAGCTTTTTTATTATTTCAACAGCACTTTCGACTTTATGAAAAGTATTGCCAGCAAAATGGCCAAGTTGTAAGTAGCGCGAGCAGCACGATAAGTTTGACGCATCATGACCGAACCTCTCTCTCCTTAACTGTTTTCCTCATCTAACTTCACATTCACATCCATATTCATGCTTGTCACTCAACCTGACAGTCACCCATCTGAGACTGGCCTGGCTGCCCTGGTGTTACGTGTGACCCATGGTAGCCGGGTCATCTTATTTGCAGCAATTCGCTGTGCAAAGTTGGTCCCTTCGGTATGATGGACGTGCCAGAAAAACCTATAAGTCTTTCGAATACCATACCTCTATTACGACATTGCCATAATCCTGTATATTGGCTGTAATCACACTATAACTTAATCTTAAGATTTTCAACAGACGTCCTCTTCACTGTCAACCATACATGATTAGTTGTACCCATAATAGCACAAAGCCGCTTACAGCTCTTCCATATGCAAAGGTGGGAAAATCTCACTTCTTTCCAAACATCTACCAACTAGATGCAGATGATTGGGTGAAGATCCGGGGTAGGATAGGTCTTCAGCAACCCAGTCATCCAAAGTGCCGTAGTTCGCTGTGCAGAGTTGTGTCCCTTAGGCATGCCGACACCTATGATCATGGGTTTGAATGCCAGCTCCCCCCGATTACGTTTCTAGGTTTGTCAGCATAATACCCATGGGTGTCAACAAAGTGGTAAACGTCCTGCATCATTTCGGGCTTTCCTCCCACATGAGAATCTGACACGCCCTGATACATGTATAACTGTAATACCTTTGAAAGTGGCGTTAAAACCAAGTCACTTACTCCTCTGAGACAACTTTCTTTTCCATGGCCTTCCTTCTGTTTGCATTGGCCTCTAAAACAAACTCACTCACACTTGTGCGTCCCTCAGAAATGTCAGAAAGCAGATTGTGGCTATCCTCTTTCTAGGTGTGTCAGCACCATACCATCTTCCTGAGGCAAGGGAGTTAACTGACTATAAAAGTCCAATTTCCACCCTTGCCGGACTAGGTTTTATAATCAGTTAACTCTCTTGCCTCAGAAAGATGGCATCATACCGCTAAGTGCTTGTGTGCATTACTTTGGGCCATCAAGCTGACATGGCATGGTTTTATGATATAGTATTCAAAGCGGCATTAAACCCCACTCACTCACTCACTCCAAGCCATCCTGGTTTGTGTTATGCCACGTTAGCTGAGTTCCCTACCAACCACTCCCTCCCTCCCTCCCAAGCTGATGTTGAACTGCCTGGCTATTTATTTAGAATTAGAATGGTTTGTGTAGTTAGACTGAACTCCATTCTCAACTTTGATTCTAACTGAAACATAAAACAAATTAACAGCAACATTTCTGCATGTTGCATGCTGGTTAACGAGCTGATGTAACGTAGTTAGAAGAAATACATTAATTTCAATACATTATCATTTTCACAAGGATGAAATTTTTCCAGTTATTTTTCGTGAATAAAATCTCCATAGCATGTTTAACATGTGGGGTATTACGGCACTTCTAGATGCATCAGTAATCATTTAGATTATGAATTAGTGAACCTGATTTTTATATTTTGTTATTGATCATTGAATGGCTGATTGGTACAACAGGCATTAAAATGCTAAAATCCCCTGAATTTAGACACACTTGTATGTTTTACTTCAAAAACGAGGACATTTTCTTGTCCATCACAGCTAATTTGTCATTTTCTTCAACATTAAAAGTAATATTCTTCTAATGAGGTTTAGGAAATATGCGTTTGATATCTTGACTGTTCAACACAAGGTTCAAGATTACGGAAGGACATACAAACCTATTTTCCTTGTCAATATCAGTATATTGTTAATTGAGTTCCTTCCCTTAGTGACCCGTGAAGATCCGGGGTAGAATTAGGTCTTCAGCAACCCATGCTTGCCGTAAAAGGCGACTAACAGGATCAGATGGTCAGACTCGCTGACTTGGTTGATGCATGTTATCATATCCCAAATGCCTATCGATGCTCATGATATCAATCACTGGATTGTCTGGTCCAGGCTTTATTTATTTTCCCTGTAGGTATAAAAAACTCAGGTCATCAGCTTTGACCATGAGGCCTCGTCGTATAGACTGCCGTCATATAGCTGGAATATTGCTGAGTGTGGCTTAAACAACAAACAAACAAACAAACAAACAAGCAAACAAACAAACAAACAAACAAACATCCTTCCCATAGTTGTCTGATTATCTGTTTATCCTGTGATTCTTGAACCTCTGCAGAATCCTGGACCTAGAACTTGTAGTCTAGTGGTTAAATTATAAACCTATTCATTGGGATTGCTATTAAGTAAGAGACTTCTTTCTATAGGCATTAAAACCTATTGTGAGGTTATATAATATCCCGGGTATTTTATTAATATAACTTCCGTTCAGATTGTAACATGTAATGAAATGTAAAATCAAATGACAAATGTTTTCTTTATATTCCCGAGGATCGAACTCGCAACCTTCATATCTGTAGCCCAGTGAGTGTACCACGAGGCTACAGAGGTGTTGATAAGCCTCACTGGTTTTTAGAATGTCCTTTTCAAGATCCGTACGCCAGCAACAGATATTTTACACGCGTTTCCTAAGGTTCATGGAAAGTAAGTTCGAAACCTAAAAATGTTGATAAATGTTGTTTTAAGTTTCTTTTTTCGGTTTATAAGCTTGGAAAAACACTTTTCCTCGGTTTTGGTAGACAGAGCATGCCCTGGGGGTCGGGAAAAACCGCGGGTGCTTCGCCCCCTTGGTTTTTCCCTCTCCCCAGGGCATGCTCTGTCTACCAAAACCTCGTGAGCGTGGTTTCTCCAATACATATTGACTCACAACAAAGATCAGGTTTTGATTCACCACTTGAGTTCAATGTGTGAAGCCTGCATGTTTCTGGTGTAGTATTTCTAAAAGCAGCATAAAACCCTACTCACTCACTGAGTCTGTTGGGTGGTAGGTCAGCCTAGTGGATAAAGCGTTAAAGCTGATGACCTGGGTTTTATTCCCTACATGGAACAATGTAAGAGCAAGGCCCATTCTCTGTGTCCCCTGTCATCATATTTCTAGAATATTGCCAAAAGTGTTAGAAAACCCAACTCACCCTCCTCTACTTCTCAACAGAAAGGGGGCATTGGTGGCCCAGTCGTCTAAGACGCTGCGATTCGCTGTGCAGAGTTGCGTCCCTTGGGCACCCCAGAAACCTATGATTGTGGGTGTGCTTGAATTGTAGTCGTGGAGAGGAGAATGATTACGTAAGATACCAGACGATACTCAGCTCTATTACCATCGATACCATGCTGGCCTATTGCTACTTTTGATAGACAAAATGGAGGCTGTGTGCTTGTGTAGTAGGCCGTGGAGTCATCCCACACATGACATCCTTACCTTGTCTGCTTGCTGACGGGGTTAACCTATTTGGTCATGTGGACAAGGCGTCTAACCTCTGATCAGAGGGTCCTTTCTTCGAATGCCATCATGGGACTTGGAAATTTCATGGCCGCTACATTGGCACCCAACGTGGGGCTGAGCACGTTCATATCAAATTTGAGCAATAAGTCTCAGTACCCTACTATGCAGCCCGGGAAGTGCCTTCTGTTGACGGGGGAGTATGTAGCAGGGCGTGGAGTCATCCCACAGATGACATCCTTACCTTGTCAGCTTGCTGAAGGGGTTAACCTCTTTGGTCATGCGGACAAGGCGTCCGACCTCGGATCAGAAGGTCCGTGGTTCGAATCCCATCACGGGTCTCGGAATTTTATGGCCGCTACACTTGCATTGCTGTAGTGGAGAGGAGAATGATTACGTAAGACAGTCCGTTAAGTAACAGCATGATTAAGTTGTGGTCCAAGTAAGCATGTTAGAGCGTCAGCTGGTGATGCTGCTGATAGCAACAGCCTGCCGCGTTGACAGATGGGGAAATTCACTTACCTGCCTGCTAATGAGTTTACAATGGCCTGGTTATTGATGGCATGTTTGCTGCTACTTGCTGATCACCTTTCTACAGCATTAACAAGGCCCATACTGGAGCATTCTGCTTGTTAAGGAAGTAATAGCACATTTATTATTATTTTGGTGTCAGAGAAATACAATGGAAAACTGACATGTGTTTGTGGAGGTAACATACCAAGCCAAATAGATCCTCCCTGAGTCGAATGGGAAAATACATTTTGTTCTGAAATTGGTAGTCATTCTAACGATGGACAAATTAGCTGATAGAGATTTGCATGTGCGATGTTAGTCATAGATTCCTCGACCCTTTGTCCCAAGTTTGCTTACCAAAGTATACACAAGTCATATTTGGATGGACTTGACTTTGGGATGCATAGAGAACAATGCATCTTGTTGCAGTGGAGCTCGCTGACACGTTGCATGATGTGTTGGGATCTGCTCTGACATTATCGCATTGGATAATTAAAAAAATGTAGATAATATTTGTCTTAATATTTCGGATAAACCAAGATATTTTTGTGTTTTTAGGGGCATGTGATATGAAATAAAGATGCCTGTGAAATTTGGGAGTTGCATCTGTTACTTCCATGTCAGATAGGGGGCACGGATGGCCAAGTCGTCTAAGGCGCTGCGATTCTCTGTGCAGAGTTGCGTCCCTTGGGCACTCCAGAAACCTATGATTGTGGGTTTAAATCCCGGCTCGCCCCGATTATGTTTCTAAGTTTGTCAGCACCATACCCGTGCTCGTGGGTTTCACCGAAGTGGTAAACTTCTGAGACCTGCATCACTTCGGGCTTTCCTCCCACATTAAGCTGACACGCCGTGATGTGACTGGAATAATGTTAAAAGCGGTGTTAAACCCGACTCACTCACTTACTCCATGTCAGATGTCATTGGTAAAGTACTCAGAATTGTTCTGATTATGAACCTTGGGTTGTCAGCACCAAACTGGTCCTGATGGTCTAGTGGTTGGTGCTTGTTTAGTTGACCACTGGTTTCCTGGTCCCAAGTTGATTATTTACAGTCATGGCTGGAATATTGCTGACTTGGCAGAAAACAACATTCATTCACTCACTCACACTTATTGAGGTCTATCGGTTTCATTGAATTTGTATATGTTAAGACTGCCCTTCTAAATTCACTGTAAATGTTAAAACACCAATGTAAAACTTGAATTACATCCCCTGGTTACACTTTTATCGTAGCTGAATCAGACATGGTTCTACTTTGTTTGTGCGATCAGCCATTTTGTTTATGCCACCTGTGATGAATGCTGTAGGCTGGAATGCCCACTGTAAACTTGCCTACCACCAGCATTGAGGGACCGTCTCAAAGTTTGGAAGCTTTTTTCAATTTGATGTACTTGATTGACTTTTTGAGGTTTGATTTCTTTTCACACATTGATGATAAAAATAATAAAATAATGATGATGATGATTTTGTGTGCACAATTATCGGACTGATGATAATCATGATGATATGTCTTTTTATTGTGTGTCTCAATCCTCTTGTTTTTGTATAAGCAGACTACGTTTGGCTTATTAAAGATACTGCTGACACAGTGCCTCTTTGACAGATCTTAGGGATGTCATAGAGAATGTAGTTACTACAGTTATGCATATTCTGTTTATATTGGCAGTTACAATATCACCTCATCCATTCAAATCTGTTGTTTCCTTTTTGACACATACCCTTAAATAGTTATGTATCAATTACACATTCCCCATGTTGTCGGTTTACAGGAAGCAGAAGGGTTTGAAGAAGCCAAGTTTTAAGACCAAGTCCAAGTCGAACTCTCTGGGACGCAGCAAGAAACTGCCGACCTCTGTTCCCAGCATTCCAGATCTTACTGCCAGCACTGAGAGGATCGTGAGTATTCACTGTGGTCAGACACTAGACCTTGGCTGAAAGCCTGGTTTTTATTTCCCACATATAGGTACAATGTGTGAAACCCATTTCTTGTGTTCCCTGCCTTGCTATTTCTGGAATATTGCTGAACACGGTGTTAAAACCAGGGTTAGAAACCAACAGTTTTCGGCCACTAGTCCTTATAATGATAACATATAGCAAAACCCTTAAAAAAGGCAAATTTCTACTAGTCCTTATGATACCTTTACCATTGGGCAGTTTGGCAAGGACTATAGGACTAGTGCCAATTTCTAACGCTGAAAACATACTCACTCACTGTGCCCTAACTATGCACCATGGTCTGTGAGCACATGTTACCATATGAAATCCTTGCACCTTTATTAGAATGCCAAAACATCCGGCAATAACAATCAGCTGTGCTGAAGTACTGTGTTTATGGTTTTTATTATTCTAAATATCATTGTGAAACAACACTCACTCACTCACTCACTCACTGGCTCTCTTCCCAGGTCGGGTCAGAGGAAGAAGATTGGGAGACTGACAGCAACAGCACCACCTATGAACCAATCCCTGGCGAGAGTCTGTACGAAGAAGCCGACTTTTTGACAGAAGAAAAAGACTCGAGGAAAAAGCGTGATGGTCCTTCACAATCCCTCGGCGACAAAATCAAGGCCAAGGTCAACATATCGGCCCAGGCCACCAGTGTTCTGAACAAAATTGGAAACAAATTTGGTAAAATTGGTAAAACTAAAGGTTCGGAACCGCCATCAATCTCAACCGGAACTGATTCCGATATGGAAGCCGTAGATGAAGCACTTGGTGATGAACTGGAGAAAGTGTCGTCCCTGTCTCGGAGCTCCAGCGAAAGGAGCAGTGGAAAAAGACAAAAGAAAGAACTTAGCGAGACAGTTTCCTCCAAGTTGTCGGAAGATGAGGGTCTGTCTTGTCCTACACCTCCCCCGCTCCCACCAAGGTCATCCCGGGTTCTAAACCAAACAAACATCGAAAACTCACCACCCCTTCCCCCCCGGAATCAGTCCGCGTCCGGTCCGACCCTGGACATGGTCATTCCTCCACCCGACCGGGCACCGTCGTCGCATTCCACGGGTGACCTTCGCCGTAAAGGTCAGCTGAGTATCAGCAAGGACAGTTATCTCCACGGTCAGCATCTCAAGTCCGCATCGCTGGGGGACGTCCCTGCTTCCATGGACCACACAGATGGTAATGGCGAGGAGTTTCCAGGTAATACACGTACAACGTTTTATCACATGCCACTCGGGGGCATGGGTGGCCCAGTCGTCTAAGGCGCCGCGATTCGCTGTGCAGAGTTGCGTCCCTTGGGCACGCCAGAAACCTATGATTGTGGGTTCTAATCCCGGTTCGCCCCGATTATGTTTCTAGGTTTGTCGGCACCATACCCGTGCTCGTGGGTTTCATCGAAGTGGTAAACGTCGGAGACCTGCATCACCTCGGGCTTTCCTCCCACATTAAGCTGACACGCCGTGATATAACTGGAATACTGTTAAAAGCGGCGTTTAACCGAACTCACTCACTCACTCGCTCACTATCACATGCCACTCAACTTTTGATAGGAATATTCCGATATGTCATTGTATTTAAAAATACACTTGATTTGTTATGAGAATCATTTTTGTGTATCATGGAAAGATAGAAAAATATCCCTATCCAAAGTTGGGTAGCATATGAAGGTTATAGATGCGATAGACTCATCGCAAGAATATGCAAATGAGGTCAGTATGTTACAGGACCCTCATGTTGCCTGTAAGTACTAGGGATGCTAAAATACAACAGGTACACTGGTTTTCATGCAACGATAAGATACACGATACATTTTGGACTGTATCGATACAAGACGATACACTTGCTACAATTAATTACTTACCGGTATTACTCGTTTAATGACCCCCCAGTGTTTTTGGCTGCCTTTTTGACAAAATGTGTTGTAATCAACCTTTCAAGTTCACTTCGAATAATAGTCGCTATGCACATGTGTCTACAGCTAGCTTTAACTTTGAAACCAGCTCTGAAATATTTATGGTCAAGAAGTTTCCATGTGATTTGACGTAGATATGAGTATTACGATACACATCGTATCATAACCTATGTATAGTGATATGTATCGTATTGTGACCTCCCTGTATCGTTTCACCCCAAGTAAAGGAAATTAAGAATTGGGCGTCTCTTGACCCCTAGTTTTGTAGGTCAAGGTAAAACCCTGCCCTGCTCATGCCACGATCTGCTGATTGAAGGTTTGAATACTTCGTATGATCCTTCCTGATTAGGACCCTCGTTAGTCAGAACTTGACCCATGCTCGTAATTTAACCAAAGTGGTAAATGTCAATATAGCTTTCTTCTACCCATGCGGGGCGGTCGGGTAGCCTAGTGGTTAAAGCGTTCGCTCGTCACGCTGAAGACCCGGGTTTGATTCCCGACATGGGTACAATGTGTGAAGCCCTTTTCTGGTGTCCCCCCGCCGTGATATTGCTGGAATATTGCTAAAAGCGGCGTAAAACCATACTCACTCACTCACTCACTCTTCTACCCATGAAGATCCTTTTTAGCCTGACTGACTCACCACAGTGGAACATGTCTAAGACCTGTTTTCATCCCACATAAAATGCTGTAATATTACTGGGGCGGTCGGGTAGCCTAGTGGTTAAAGCGTTGGCTCGTCACGCCGAAGACCCGGGTTCGATTCCCGACATGGGTACAATGTGTGAAGCCCATTTCTGGTGTCCACCACCGTGATATTGCTGGAATATTGCTAAAAGCGGCGTAAAACCATACTCACTCACTCACTCACTCACTGTAATATTACTGACATATTGTTCCAGCGAAAGAGACTAACTGTTTTAGTCCACTAGTCCTTTAGTGAAGGCATATAGTAAAACCCTTAATAATGGCAAATTTCTACTAGTCCTTATGATGCCTTTACTATTGGGCAGTTTGCAAGGACTATAGGACTCGTGCCAATTTCTAACGCTGTTGTTCATTGCGGCACTAAGATCTGTGAAGACCCGGGGTAGAATAGGTCTTCAACAACCCATGCTTGCAGTAAAAGGTGACTATGCTTGTCGTAAGAGGCGACTAACGGGATCTGGTGGTCAGGCTCGCTGACTTGGTTGATGCATGTCAACGTATCCGTATTGCGTGGATTCATGCCCCATTAAGCTAACATGCTATTGTTCATAGCGGGACGAAACCCAACTCAATGTACTCTCTTTGTGTAGATGGCTACGTGGATTATGATCCAAGCACTGGGCGGACTGGCAAGACGGAATCTGTCGACAGAAGAGAGTGAGTATATATGCTTTGCTACTTTTCATTAACTACTTCCCAATTATACTTTAAATTAAGATTTTTGCATGAAATATTAAGCCTTTTCTCTTTCTGAATATTTACAAATTATTACCAGTTGTTTCCACACACACTCTTAAAAGGTCACAGAACGAAGCAGAGAGATAGAATTGAAAGTGACATTGTATCATTGCTTATGCAATTACCTGGTCTTTGTCTGGTCAAGACTCAATTATCGGCCAGGGACTGTGATCTCTTATCATATGGCTACAATCGTTCACTCTGGCATGTTATAGTGGATAGGTGGAACGTCTGGTGCATCATGCTATTCTGTACCTCAATACAGGCATTGAACTGTGAGAACATGTATCAATACAAAATGATACAAGGATGTGGAAGAGAGATGTGTAAAATTGTGTCTCGGGTGTCCTATTCAAACAGCACACATGTTTAGCTGATACCTCTTGGAAAGCCTTGATGGCTGATTAAAAGATTCCTCTTTAAGATTGTAGTTGTGATAGATAATTTGGGGGACATGGGTATTATCTTATCAATGTAGCTTTCATACTAGTCATAAAAGGTCACTGTGACATATCCTGGGTCACCATGACCTGGTGTCTTTTCTTCTTCTCATTTGTTTCAGGAATATTATCAGTGTTTATGTACTGTAAAGAAATAAGATCATAGAAAAGAGTTTTTTTCTGGTATTGGTATGTCAAAGTAACGAAATGCATTAAGTAGAATTTTGCTGATGTGTGCATATATGAAATTATCAATTTGTGATAATTATGCCCCTCCCTTGTATCTCTGCATTCCACCTACTATCTGGGGCACCTGAATGTATGTTTGGTGCACAGTAATAATGGTTCCTAAATAGCTATCGTTAGATAACATTCTCCACACAAGACTGGTAACATCTCCGACAATATGTCGTTGAATGTTGGAACTAGTGATTCCAAGGACTGTCCATATGAATTTGAAGTGGTATCACGGACTCTTCTGTGACCAGCAGAGATGGTTGCTATGGGATTATTGTTAAGGTGGGGGAAAAAGGAAATCAGAATTGCAAATGCGAGAGAGATGTTAATGATCTTCAGACAGCTGTCAGAGCTCCAGATAAGCTGCGTATCTGTGTGAAATACGCATCAGAAATACAAAAATATGCAGTAAAAAATAATCCAAGCGTATCAAATACGCAACGAACATTACAGATACGCTACAAAAACAGATGTTGTGCATATCATCAAAATATTGTGAAGCAACCCTGCGTATTCGATTAGCAAATCAGCAACTAATTTTGAAATTATAAACCTTGCCAAACTCCACGATGACAGTCACATCATGATCATTCGCCATCACACTTTCTTGTGGAAGTATCGTGGTATTTTTGAGTCCTATAAAGCTCTCAAACCCACACGACACCAGTTTGCAGGGACTAGATGAATAGTGTTTTTAAATATTTAACTTAAATACCCACATGTGTAAAAACTAGTGGGTAACAGAAATTTGAATACGCAGATAGAATTACTGATACCCAGTGATTTTAAAATGCATGGGTAAAATACCCACAACACCAAAAGCTTATCTGGAGCTCTGGCTGTTTACTGCAAATCTGCTTCTACAAATGATGGAACTTTCCTAAAGTGTGAGATTAAACTCTGGATTTGGTACAAAATAATGTAGAAATCAAAGCTTTATATTAACGTCTCGAAGGTTTTGATAAAAAAACAACCCAATCTTTGCACAGTTTTGCTAAGTCATCTGTGAAGAAGAAAAAAGGATCTTTCTTCAGGTAAGTATTTGAAAGCGTTGGCTGTTTGATGTTGTCATTGTTACCTCTTCAGTTACAGCATGTTATGGTGCCATTGTGTACTGCCATGGTAACCTTTGTTCACAAGCAATCCAGCATGTTGCCATGGATACAAAGATGGTTCCATCACCATGGCTACAAAGAGCTTAGTTTTTAGTATCCCCACTCTTCACTTGATTATGGTTAATGTTGCCATGGTTACATAATACCCATCCTTTGCATGTTGATATTGTTCATGTGAGATTAATTTTTGATTTGGTAATTCAGTATCAAGATGTTTTCTCTTCTGTTGGCATGAGCTTGATCAGTGTTCATGTTTTGCTTGTTTGATATGGGATTGAATTGTAGAAACAACGAATGTGTAACACAAAAATTGACAACAACATCAGAGCTCCAGATAAGCTGCGTATCTGTGTGAAATACGCATCAGAAATGCAGAAATACGCAATAAAATATAATCCAAGCGTATCAAATACGCAACGAACATTACAGATACGCTACAAAAATAAAACTTGTGCGTATCATCAAAATATTGTGACCTCTGTCTTCGATTAGCAAATCAGCAACTTATTTTGAAATTATAAACGGGCATTCCGTCAACCTTGCCAAACTCCACGATGACAGTTACATCATGATCATTTGCCATCACACTTTCTTGTGGAAGTATCGTGGTATTTGTTAGTCCTATAAAGCTCTCGAACCCACACGACACCAGTTTGCAGGGACTAGATGAATAGTGTTTTTAAATATTTAACTTAAATACCCACATGTGTAAAAACTAGTGGGTAACAGAAATTTGAATACGCAGATAGAATTACTGATACCCAGTGATTTTAAAATGCATGGGTAAAATACCAACAACACCAAAAGCTTATCTGGAGCTCTGAACATACTAAGAGGGGCAGTGGTGTAGTCTAGTGATTAAAGCGTTTGCTCATCACGCTGAAGAACTAAGTTCAATTCCGCATGGGTACATTGTGTGAAGCCCATTTCTGGTGTTCCTAGTCATGATATTGCAGGACTATATACAGTACATTACGGTTATCAAGAACTCAAAGGGACCAATAATTTTAGTTTTTTATAACCATAGTTCGTTATAAGCATATATACAGCGTGTATACAGCAAATGGGGGGACCAAAAGATAAGTTCATTATATTCGTCTGTTTGTTGCAAGTGTGTTATAAACATAGTTTACTGTATTGCTAAAAAGGGCGTAAAACCATACTCACTCACTCACTCATTCACTGACTCACCCACCCACCCACCCAAAACCCACCCACCCACTCACTCACTCACTCACTCACTCACTCACTCACCCACCTATTGATATATATCACCCGATTGGTAATCTCTAGTAATGACACCACTGTGCACACCTGGTACAAGTAACAAGACTGGAATTTTTAGCGTCTGGCATACCAAACATCACCCTGCTTAATAACTGACTGAGTCAAGCTGTCGACCAGAATGGCATTGCTTAAATATTGCTGTCTGCAGCAACAATCCATTCTCACTCACTCACTCACTCACTCACTCACTCACTCACTGTTAAGTCCGCTGTCTGTACCTGTCACTTCAGAATATCTTATTTGCGGGTTTTTTTCAAACAAGAAATGCTTCTATGATTATACTGCCGTAGTCAATTCTTCAAGGGCTTCGTACACACAACGTTGACCGCTACCGTGGTCTAGTGGTAGAGCATCCGCCCAGATAGCTGCAGTTCGGGGCTTGAACTCCCTCTGTGTCATACCAAAAGACGTTAAAAGATGGTACTTGTTGTTACCCTGTCTGGCGCTTGGCATTAAGGGGCTAAAACAAGGACTTGTCGGCTCGGAGTCAGTATACTGTGTCTGAGTGAGGTATTCTTGTTAAACTGTGGCATGGTATCTCAGTGTGCTAGCACTATAAATCGGCATCAGTCTGGACTAGTACAAGCAGCCACACCAACACACACACGTGCATGCATGTGGCTAAATAGGTGCAATAATCTTGGACGTTAAACTCCATTTCACCTCGCCACGTGCAAACGCTTTGCAGCATAGTTGGTATTTTTCATGAACACAAGGGATACAAAAAAGATGACAGCATAGAACAAGCTAATGAGAGTGTGAAAAAGTAGAGGTCGTATGGGAAGACAACCACAAATTGCATGTTGTCTTGATGTAAATAGATTGTCACTGCATTCAACATTTAGAGCCTTGGAAAGGTATATTATGATATTCAAAGTAAAAAAAAAATTTGTGTTATAAATTTTGACTTTAACATCCACTAGTTATTACTGATGTGTGATGTCAGATGTGTGTGGTTTTATTTGTATTTAACAAACAAGAAAATCACTATTAATGTCAATCACTGAATCATTGTGTTTTTTTATGAAAAAAATGTCCAACTGACGTTACAATTGTATTTGTAAGTACTGAAACAGTTTCACTGATCATATGTCACGTGTGTTTTCATTCTGGATTCAATTCCCGAAATGGGTACAATGTGTGAAGCCCATTTCTGGTGTCCCCCGCCGTGATATTGCTGGAATTTTGCAAAAAGCGGCGTAATACTATGCTCACGAACTCACTGATTGACAGTTCGAGGCCACATGTGTTAGGCTCAGCTTGGTATACAATCTTCAACAGAGACAATACTGACACACGGTTTCACCTTTTCCAGAAAAACTGCCACAGCTGACGACCGCCCAGCGTCGAGCACGTCATCGTCTGGATACATCTATCCTGAAACTGACCAATGGCATCCAGCCGGTGTGGATGGACAGTCCCTGTACCAAGATCTCGTAAGTCACGTGGACATGGGACAAGTATTGCCTTTTACTACATATTGGCATCATTTTTAATAGGAAGTTGAATGTTGAATAGACTCAAAATTTAACATGAAATATGGCATCTTATATTGGCCTAAAATCCTTGATATGAAATTAGTTTTATGTGCTACATTACTATCATTATGATAAAAGTTACAGAACTGAATATTCTTGTGTACCCAAAGAATACAAGACTGCGACAGACTAATTAAATTTTATTGGATACAATATATACACATAATTCTATGCCAATAATTTTGCAACAGTTTTGCAAGAGTGGTTTTAATCATTGCAATGCTATGAGGACCAGGCTTGATATATATTTGATGTTTCTTTAAAAGGAGCACCACTCTTGTACGGCAGCTGGGTGGTCATGTGGGTGACTGGGCTCTTGTATGGCAGCTGGGTGGTCATGTGGGTGACTGGGCTCTTGTATGGCAGCTGGGGGTTCATGTGGGTGACTGGGCTCTTGTATGGCAGCTGGGTGGTCATGTGGGTGACTGGGCTCTTGTACGGCAGCTGGGTGGTCATGTGGGTGACTGGGCTCTTGTACGGCAGCTGGGTGGTCTTGTGGATGACTGGGCTCTTGTATGGCAGCTGGGTGGTCATGTGGGTGACTGGGCTCTTGTATGGCAGCTGGGTGGTCATGTGGGTGACTGGGCTCTTGTATGGCAGCTGGGTGGTCATGTGGGTGACTGGGCTCTTGTATGGCAGCTGGGTGGTCATGTGGGTGACTGGGCTCTGGTATGGCAGCTGGGTGGTCATGTGGGTGACTGGGCTCTTGTATGGCAGCTGGGTGGTCATGTGGGTGACTGGGCTCTTGTATGGCAGCTGGGTGGTCATGTGGGTGACTGGGCTCTTGTATGGCAGCTGGGTGGTCATGTGGGTGACTGGGCTCTTGTATGGCAGCTGGGTGGTCATGTGGGTGACTGGGCTCTTGTATGGCAGCTGGGTGGTCATGTGGGTGGAGTGTTTGCCCAGGTTGGATTCCTCACTTATGATGTCCATCGCAAGATTGTGATATTGTTTAATATAATAGAATATTGTCAATGTAACCTAACTGAACTAATGTTAAAAGTCGCCATAGAGTGATCTCCCTTGCTGTGGAGTGATCTCCCTTGCTGTTGAGTGATCTCCCTTGCTGTGGAGTGATCTCCCTTGCTGTTGAGTGATCTCCCATGCTGTGGAGTGATCTCCCTTGCGTGAGTTGCCTCCCTTCATCAGTGGCTGGATGTTGCAGGATGATGATCAGGTGTACGGCCGACTGGGGCGAGAGATGAAGATGAAGACAAGCAAGTTTGTCAACGAGCCTCTCTATCAGTATTACACGAAGGAGAACCTCATTCGAGCTAACCGCAAACTAAAGATGGAAGAGGCCATTAGTGATGATGATAGTGGTGAGTGTCTGCCTCTTTGGCCTTCAATCTTTACATCTAGGTGTTTGCTGCAATTTTGCTCACCTGAACAAAACATTTCCTCTGTAAGACAACTTTTGAATCTGAAGCAGTGTTAAACCCAACTCACTCACTTCTGAATAACTCGTGCAGATCCGGGGTAGAATAGGTCTTCAGTAACTCATGCTTGCCGTAAAAGGCGACTATGTTTGTTGTAAAAGGCGACTATGTTTGTTGTAAAAGGTGACTATGTTTGTTGTAAAAGGCGACTATGTTTGTTGTAAACGGCGACAGGTGGTCAGGCTCGCTGACTTGGTTGATGCATGTCATCGATCCCAATTGCGTGGATTGATGTTCATGATGTCAATCACTGGATTGTCTGGTCCAGACTCGATTATTTTTCAGACTGTCGTCATATAGCTGGAATATTGCTGAGTGCGACTTTAAACAACAGAAAACACAAACAAACAAACCAAACACTTCTGAATATGGAGATGCCTAAGTTAATGTTAGTTCTAGGTTTGATCACTGTCCTGGCTTTTGTGACATAGCGGTTATGCTGCTGACCACTGGCCCCTGATACAAAGCTGTAATGTGGACGACTTTCTATCCCTGTAATATTGGGATTTTTTAGTAAGTCCTTTCCCCTGAAAGTTTCTACCCGGAAAGAATAGTCATGTTTTTTACCAACTCCAATCAAAGAGAAAATTGAAAGGTGTTAATTATTTGGCTTAACATGAGTGATGAATCCGAATAGTTACTGGTCCAAATGCATATTTTTCCCTCCAATTTATTGACCGATTGATAAGCAAGTTCCCTTTGATTTGTGCTTACTAGTTGTTAAGAGGAAGAGAAAGAAAGGTAAGAATGCTGTTGTATATATGTTGTTATAGCTCACATGTGTGATATATGCTTGTTTTGAAATACGAGATATTTCTTCCTACTAGTTGAGTTGAAATATGAGGTATTTCTTCCTACTAGTTGAGTTGAAATATGAGGTATTTCTCCCTACTAGTTGAGTTGAAATATGAGGTATTTCTTCCTACTAGTTGAGTTGCTTGTACACATTTGAAATTTTCAGCAGATACAATAAATTAAATTAATATGGTATTTTAATTTCACTGAACTTGTCAAACCTTCTACCAGTACCTTATGGTACCATGAACATGGGATATGGTAGAAACAGTGTCCCATTTTCAGATATCAACAAAAAATTGCATGTGTCTGGTTATAAATTTGTCCCAAGACATTTGGACAAAATCCTTTCAATATAAGTGTTAACATTGTTACTGTGTCAAGATACATTGTATGGAATGTTGACAAGGAAAAACTGCAATTGTTATCTTGTTATCCCTAAACATTTTGACAAGCGGAACCTTTCAGTTGAAATGTTGACATCTCCAGGTAGATAAGGCTCTGTTGCAGTATATCAGAGTATCTCAAGAAGAAGTGGTTGTAGTAGTGGTCACACTAGTAGTTTTGATGTTGTTGTTGTAGTAGTAGTTGTTGATGCTGCAGATTCTTCATGTTATCTTTATTTGAAATTTCTCTTCAGTGTCAGAGCAAGAACATGGTCAATGGCCTTCTTCGTAACAAATCTTTATTTACATGGGGGTGGTCAGGCTTGCTGACTTGGTTGATGCATGTCATTGATCCCAATTGCATGGATTGATGCTCATGATATTAATCACTGGATTGTCTGGTCCAGACTCGATTATTTTACAGACCACCGTCATATAGCTGGAATATTGCTGAGAGCGGCAATAAACAACAAAATTAAGGAGGGAGTGCTTGGTAATGTAGTAGACAGGCCAACAATCACTTCACTTTGCATGTCCGTGACGATATTGTTGGTATAAATCACCCACCTTGGAATACCCGATAAACATTCTTCAGCATTACTATAATGAATAATTGTATTTCAGGACCAAAATCAAATTATCTGTTCTGGGTATTAAGGCTTGAGATAATCAAACACAAAAATGCTGTGGTATTGGTTCGAATCATATTCGATGTGTTTGGAGATGAGCACAACAAAACATATATTTTCTGATTTCAGGTTAAAGTTGATTATGTGTTTTCAAACGTGTCAGATTATGTAGTCCCTATGTCTTGTCCATCGGTATAGGGGGAACGGATGGCCCAGTCGACTAAGGTGCCGCGATTCGCTGTGCAGAATTGCGACCCTTGGGCACGCCAGAAACCTATGATTGTGGGTTCCAAACCCGGTTCGCCACCATGTTATTAGGTTTGTCAGCACCATACCCGTGCTTGTGGGTTTCACCAAGTGGTAAACGTCTGAGACCTGCATCACTTCGGGCTCTCCTCCCACATTAAGCTGACACGCCATGATATAACTGGAATACTGTTAAAAGCGGCGTTAAACCGAACTCACTCACTCACTCACTCACTCCATCGGTATATTTTTCATGATCCGTTCACAGACCTCCAGGTAAATGCTAATGGTGAAGCTTGTGCTGTTCCAGAAGGGGGAATTTACGAGGATGTGGAGCAGATGCTGCAAGATGGGATTCTGACGGACGAGGACGCCAAGTCCGCGGAGGACATCTCACCCAGCAAACGCTCCACCATGTTGGAGGTCCTGGGCCGGACGGGATCGCTACACAGAGCCCTCTGGTGTGAGATGCCAGAGGTGAGGCGTCAGGATCTTAAAAAAAATATTCTCTGAATTTGGGTTTCCAACAAGTCTGTTTTTGAAGTCTCAGTCCCCTTGTGGAGATTGTGGGTAGAATAGGTCCCAATTGGTCCCAGTTCCTCTTCATCGAAATGAACAACATCAGTGACATAGGTCACTTTGGGCTTTCCCCTTATATTATGCTGTACTGCTGTGATATAAATAAAATACTGATCACAGTGGCATTGACATCAATCCCTCCTTGGATGACATGTAATTTCTATGATTCTGAGACGTCATTATTATACGATGATATTTTTTTAAAGAATTTATGATATCATCATATGATGTTTGTTTGTGTGTTGTTTAACGCTGCACTCGCCAATATTCCAGCTATATGACAGCGGTCTGTAAATAATCAAGTCTGGATTGATATCAAAAGGATTGATCTATCCAATTGGATACGATGACATGCATCAACCAAGACAGCGAGCCTGACCACCCGATCATAGTCGCCTCTTACGGCAAGGGGTGGTCCGGTAGCCAAGTGGTTGCTGAAGACCCGGGTTCGATTCCTGACATGGGTACAATGTGTGAAGCCCATTAAGGGTGTCCCCCGCCGTGATATTACTGGAATATTGCCAAAAGCGGCGTAAAACCTCACTCACTGACTCACTCACTCTTACGGCAAGCATGGGTTGCTGAAGACCTATCCTAACCCGGATCATGGATCTGTCGTCATATGAGTAGATATTGGCCTCATCATGATGTGGCCTCTGTGTGGATTCGTAAGAGGCAACTAAACTGATTGAGTGGTCAGGCACACAAGCTTTGTTGATAGCTTGTCTTTGTGCCCTGAAAGCATTGAACTCTGCCCGTAACATCAATCACTGGTTTGTCAGGCCTAAACTCAAATGTATTCACAGCTCTCTGTGATATGTATTTGAAATTGCTGACTGTGGTGTTCAACAAACAGGTGTCCTTATATGGCATGTTATATTTCAGGTTGTGGACAAGGGGGTGCTCGACAAGATGGAACCGCAAGAAAGGAAACTGCAAGAAGTGAGTCATGCACTATAACCGTTATCTTATTAATGCCTCCCCGTATCACACGCTGACAAACAATATATTGCACATCTTAGAATGTTAGTCTAAGTGAAATGACATAAATAAATTCAGATATTTCCCAAGCGATAGCGAGGTAAATACCAGACTTTAGGACGAGTGTTGTAAACATAGTATACCGAGACAGATTTTAGTGTTTACCTTAAAGGACAACAAGTCGCAATTTGTCGAATGACGTCAACAATCTTCAGCTATGACGTTGTTTATAATGTGACGTCATTCCGACCTCACGTCACAATAAGATTCGAATGATGTCAACAATGCCGTCCTGATGACGGAAACAATACACTGTTGTCTCGTGATGTCATATGACCCTAGGGCACATATGATTTTTATGAACTGCCCTTGTTGGTAATTACAACTGTTTCTAATGTAAATGTTTTTCTGTACGGGTTTGTAGGGGCGGTCGGGTAGCCTACTGGTTAAAGCGTTCGCTCGTCACGCCGAAGACCCGGGTTTAATTCCCGACATGGGTACATTGCTGGAATATTGCTAAAAGCGGCGTAAAACCATACTCACTCACTCACTCACTGTACAGGTTTGATGAATGATGGTTGACCTTGTGACCTTATGACCTTATGACCTTGTGACCTTGTGAGTGAATCAGAACTTTTAGGTGACCGCTAACTGTGCCATTGTCTGCGGGTATGTCTTTATTCTCTGTTTTTGTTTCTACAGGCGATGTTTGAGATCATTACATCGGAGGCGTCGTACATGAAGAGTCTGAACATCCTCATCACGGTGTTCCTGATAGCGCCGGAGTTCTCTGCCGACCACTCCGACCGCTGTGTCGTCACAAAGAGGGAACGTCAGGTTCTCTTTTCCAACATCGGTGCTATTAGAGATGCTAGTGAAAAGTATGTATGAGTGGGTTTTAACTGAAGTGAACCTTAAAACAGTAATCTTTTGGGTTTCGAGAGTGGAGCTTGTCCCAAGTAGCCTGTGCAAGTCTATTAAATGGGACCCAATGGTCAGGCAGATTGCATGGTATTGTTGACTGATCAGCCTGTCTTCGGGACCAGTTCAAAAGTTTGATGTCAAATAAATAACTTAATTGCATATGTTTTGAGGCATAACTTCAAACTTTTGAACTGGTCCCTTATGTGACTACTATAAAACCAATGTGAATTCTTTATTACAGAGGGGGTGGTCGGGTAGCCTAGTAGTTAAAGCGTTCGCTCGTCACGCCGAAGACCCTGGGTCGATTCCTGACATGGGTACAATGTGTGAAGCCCATTTCTGGTGTCCCCCGCCGTGATATTGCTGGAATATTGCTAAAAGCGGCGTAAAACCATACTCACTCACTCACTCACTCACTCACTTTACTACAGAGGGCAGCGGGGTGTGGGTTGAACCCCATGTTGGTATCCCAGTTGATGTAAGAAATGAGCATTTGGTGTCCATAAGGCTGACCATGTGTCGTTCACGTACGTTTCACATGGGAAAGTGGAGTTACTCACTGTTGTGTTTTCTTTGGCTCAAGTAGATAAAAAAAACGAAGGCAAGGTGTCTGGAAAATTCCATTCTTGATGTCGCTTATCTGGTGGTATATACCAAGGTATTCCATCCGTCCCTCTGTCCTTACAAGGACATTTTTGTGTGCGACCTATCACTTGAAAACTACTGCAATAGGATGTGTGCAGTGTGAAGTTTGATTGAAATATGTGGATTTTCTGATTTTTCAGTGTAATCATTTTTTACTTAAACATTTGAGCGACCTATAACTTGGAAAGTACTTCATGGATTCTTTTCAAATTAAGCGAACAGTTTTCATACTAGTAGAAGAGGTGTAGTGCATATGTTGATTTTCTGAGAAAATATGATTTTTTACATGTTTTGAACCTAATGTTTTTTTACTTCAACATTTGTGCAAGCTATAACTTGAGAACTACTTCATAGATTCTTTCAAAGTTTAGGAACACTTTCTCTACTATAGGAGAGGTGCGTGTGTGTGTATTACTTAACTTGATTTACAGTGATTTCTACTCATTTCATTGTGGGTAGGGGGAGGGTAGGTTTTCCAATGGTTCTTCCGAGTTTTGTCCCTTTCCGTGCAAGGATCCGCTGGACTGCACAGAGCGTCATTTAATCTGACACCTTGTGCGTAGGAGTTAGAAGATGTTCCAATGGTTCTGCCCAGGGCAAGAATTGCTGGATTGTGTCACTGATGTGGTTCACATCCAATCTAACATTCGTTCGTTCGTTTGCTTGCTCACTCACTCACTCACTCACTCACTCACTCACTCACTCACTCACTCACTCACTCACTCACTCACTCACCCACCAACCCATCCACCCACCCACCCACTCACTCACTCACTCACTCACTCACCAACCCATCCACCCATCAACCCACTCACCCAGTCACTCACTCACTCTCATCTGCAGATTCCTTGCTGACCTGGAGGAGAGGTGGCAGTCCAACTGTGTGCTGAGTGACATCTGTGATATCATCTTCAACCACTCCATCAAGAACTTCGAGCCCTATGTACGCTACACCAGTAACCAGCGCTTCCAGGAGCACATGCTCGACACATTGAAGTAGGTGGACAATAGGGAAATGTTGGAACTTCTTGCATTGGTTACATTTTCTTCAGGGATTATTATTTGCCTGGAAATAGGAGGAGAAGTCAATTTCACATATTTCGGTCTGATGGAACTCTAGAATGTCTGGGGGGCGGTCGGGTAGCCTAGTGGTTAAAGCGTTCGCTCGTCACGCCGAAGACCCGGGTTTGATTCCCGACATGAGTACAATGTGTGAAGCCCATTTCTGGTGTCCCCCGCCGTGATATTGCTGGAATATTGCTAAAAGCTGCGTAAAACCATACTCACTCACTCACTCACTGACAGATGAAATGTCACTAAAATATTACAGTGACTGTCGTGTATTTGTAAGACTGTACATCAGGTGCTTGTACGACCCGCACCTAAACTGGAAGGAACATCAAGCAACAAGACGTCTCAAGTACATTGTCATGACGTCACTCCCGATGCTGGGGCACGTGACGCATGGCGTAATAGCGTGTGCACATTGGCGCTCACAATATGTAAACACACCTTACACAACAGTGACAATTAGGATTCAGACTGGACCGTGGACAAACAGTGATGGACATTACTGTAGACAATGAAGTTCAAGGTAAATGACATTTTTATATTGCTGACTCCTTCCTGTTAATGATTGACAGTTTACTATAAAAAATTCCTTCTACAGTGTTCGAAATACCTGCCTGCCCGACCGTCCGAGACGGGTTGATTTCAACTCGGGCTGCCAGATTTTCAAATCCCCCTGCCCGACGGTCAGGTTATATTTCATATGTGAAAATATTCTAAATATTTCCCAATGATAAGCATTAATTCACATGTAAAGATGAATGATAAAATGTAACCAAAAAGAAACCCCGTTAGCTTATCCTGAGAAACATATGATTATAGTGGGCAGGCAGGTTTTGGTCAGGGCTGGCAAGTATTTCAGCTAGCCAGTCCTGTGGTCTGGCTGAAATTTTGGGGAGTTTCATACCCTGCCTTCTATGATGAAAAGAAAAGAAGTTTTCAAGTAAGCTGACCGATAATATATTGAATTGAATTAACAATCAGTGTACATCCTTTCAGGAAACGCGTAGAGTATATAGAAGCTGTGCGTCGTCTTGAGCGTAATCCTGAGTGCCAGTCACTGCCGATGTCGTCATTCCTGTTGCTGCCGATGCAGAGAATCACCAGGCTGCCGCTATTGGTGGATGCTATCTGTCATCGTTTGGAACCAGGCACCTTGAGACACAAGTCTTCCGCGAGGGCTCTTGAGAATCTCCACAGGGTGAGTGGATCGATGATGATAAGACACAAATATGACTCATGTCAGTGAGTCAGTGGTGATTGTGCAATAGTGAATGTCCTCAGTAGGTGATGGGCCATGGGGACCCAGTCGTCTAAGCCGCTGCAATTTGATATGCAGAGTTGTGTCCTTTGGGCAGTCCATCATTATTATGCTTCTGGCAAAATAATAAACCACACTCCGCTTTGTTTTCATAAAACTTGTTTAGTGGTCAACATCTAACAAATCATGAGACTTACCTCCCTTACATAGTTGAACATTACATCGTTATCATGTGTATTCTACTATGACAATTTGCAGTTGTTAAGACTTCTATCTACATTGTTTGTGAAGACCCATGTTGTTTCTGTGGAGGTAACTGATTGTTGATAATCGGGTGTGCAAAATGTGTGATCAAATTGTGTGGCTTCATCCATTGATGACAGTTGTCATTGCTCTTGCTTTCATCCAAGACTGCACAACTTCTTGGTTGTCATGACAACATTCACTCACTTTGGTGAGCGTAAAACCCAATTCACTCACTCATTTAGGGCGGTCGGGTAGCCTAGTGGTTAAAGCGTTCACTCGTCACGCCGAAGACCCGGGTTCGATTCCCGACATGGGTACAATGTGTGAAGCCCATTTCTGGTGTCCCCCGCCGTGATATTGCTGGAATATTGCTATAACCATACTCACTCACTCACTCACTCACTCACTCACTCACTCACTCACTCACTCACTTGACATTGGTGTGCAGGTGGTGCGGAAGTGCAATGATGGAGCGAAGAAGATGCAGCAGACGGAACAGATGTGTATCCTGGCGTCGCAGCTCGACTTCAAGGTCAAGGTCGGTCTATTTATTTACACGTGGTGTCATCGCTGATGTTCCGTGTTCTTTTATATACTTTTCACCTCTGTTTACACCCAGTGGAATCTGTTTTGGAGGATAATGGAGGCTGGTTATTCTTTGGTGTTGACGATTTATTTTTTATATAGTGAAACATCGTTAGTCTGCGTCGCGTTAGTCTGGAAACTTCTGGATGACTTTGTTGAGAACCTCTACAAATAGCAACGTTACTCTGATTTGTTTATCTGGAAATTTTTATGTCCGGTGGAATTCCCTTATAATGGTACCATCTGGATCAGTGTACTTTATGACAGTTTTGTCAGTGGTGAATTTGAGCAGCAGACCGCCCCCGTGGTCTAGTGGTAGAGCGTCCGCCCGGAGAGCGGAAGGTCCGGGGTTCGATCCCCAGCTGCGTCAAACCAAAAGACGTTAAAAGATGGTACTTGTTGTTACCCTGTCTGGCGCTCGGCATTAAGGGGCTAAAACAAGGACTGGTCGGCTCGGAGTCAGTATACTGTGTCTGAGTGGGGTATTCATGTTAAACTGCAGCATAGTATCTCAGTGTGCTAGCACTATAAATCGGCATCAGTCCAGACTAGTACAAGCAGCCACACACACGTACATGCACGTCGCTATATAAGTGCAATAATCTTGGACCCGACGTTAAACCCCATTTCACCTCACCTCATTTGAGCAGCCTAGTGGTTAAAGCAGTTTGTTGCTCAATAATTTCAGTATTAGTGAGCGAGTCAAGTCAAAGAAGTTTATTGTACAAAAGGCCACCGGCCCATATACAAGAAAGAGTTACGCATGTAGATACAATTACATTTGTTACACATTGGGATATACACGTTGTTTGATTAATTCATTTCTTTTGGCTAATGCATGCTTAATATAAAGAGAAAGATTTAATATATTTGATTCGTTCTTTGTCGTCAGCATAACTACAAAGGCGTTTATCGGTGACATTGCTATTAAATAATCTTTTATATATTTCTTTCGGAGATCATTGTAAGTTAAACTTTCACATTGCATCAGCAGTACCTCATCCAATCCTATTTCAGTATTAGGGTTCATATGTAATTAAGGCTACCTGTGAAGATCCGGGGTAGAATAGGTCTTCAGCAACTCATGCTTGCCGTAAAAGGCGACTATGCTTGTTGTAACGGGATCGGATGGTCAGGCTTGCTGACATGGTTGTATAAAACAAAACTGTTCAAAGTGCCATTTAGCCAAACTCACTGGCTATTATACCCTGACAGCATGGACTGTCTACCAGTGGTTTGCTGAACCCTATGATATTGAGGGCACCAAGCCCAACGAGTGCGGCATTAAACAACAAACAAAACAAACAAAAGTCATCCAGACAGAGACTTTATTGCCTGAGTTAATGTTGTGTTTGTTGTGCAGGAAATCCCGCTTATCTCATCATCGCGATACATCGTGAAACAAGGGGAGCTAACTCGGATCAGCACCGATGCCAGTAGCCGCATACCATTTGGGAAGGCGTTTCGAGGCCCCAGCAAACAGAACACCTTCCTGTTCCTGTTCAACGACATGGTGATGGTCACCAAGAAGAAGGGGTAGGATGGATTTATGTGTTTTGTCGTCATGGAGATTGATTTCTCCTACATGTAGAATAGATCTTCAGCAACCCGTTCATGTAGGCAGAGAGGTGGCCCAGAAGTTAAAGCATTCACTCGTCACCCTAAATGACCGGGTTTGATTCCTCACATTCACTCCCTCTAAGTAATTTCTGCTATTAATCTTAAGACCCATGAAGATCCGGGGTAGAATAGGTCTTCAGCAACCCATGCTTGCTGTAAAAGGCGCCTATGCTTGTTGTAAGAGATGACTAACGGGATCCGATGCTCAGGCTCGCTGACTTGGTTGATGCATGTCATTGTATCCCAATTGCGTGGATCGATGCTCATGATGTCAATCACTAGGTTGTCTGGTCCAGACTCGATTATTTACAGATCGCCATCATATAACTGGAATATTGCTGAGTGGGGTAAAGTGACCACCCTGTAAAAACCTTCAAAAGGCAAATGTATATATCCCGTCTATAAAGTAATAAAAAATGAAACACATTACAAGCGCATACACAATCCCAACATTTGCAATAAAACCCTTTTTCTTATATGATGTTTGGTTGCACACTGCACCATTTTGAGTGTTGACACAGTACAAATTGGCAACGGTGACAGAAGTCTTTCCTGTAATAACTCATCTGAAATCAGTTGTCTAACAAACAGTTTCTGTTTTCAGCAACTCCTACTCTGTGACTGATTATTGCCAACGTAACTCGCTCCACGTGGAGGCAATAGACAACGTAGAGAAGTGTCGCCTACTGCCCCAGGGCGTGCCCCATGGCTGCAAAAACCTCTTCCTCCTCGTCATGCTGGAGAACTTCGAGAAGAAGCAGGTCGAGATGGTGCTGTCATGTGCATCAGCGTAAGTTGGGGGGGACCATGGCGGAAATATTTGTAACAGATGATGTTATTATCAGAAAATCTTTTCTTTTTAGGATGAGAACTTCTTTGAGGAACATGGCTAAAGTTCTTGTTAAGTCGTTTGATAGGCATTACTTAGAAGTTGACGGATGACAAAGAAGACACAATTTATTGATAACAACTTCTTTAATACTTTAAAAAGCAACATTTCGGTATAGATACTTATACTGTTGTCAAGCAAGACGTCGCTTTTTCCAGTATTAAAGTTGTTCTACATAAATTGTGTTTACTCTATGATTGAGTCATTAAAGCTAAAAAAGTTGTCATTCCTGAAGGACACAAAATTTATTGGATAGCAACTTTATTGTGTCTCAAACAGTAACCCAGAAATGTGACAAATATGTTTTTATGTACTACCAGCTTCTAAATCTTTTGGGTGCACGGGTGGCCCAGTTGTCTAAAAGGCGCGATTCGCCGTGCAGAGTTGCGTCCTTGGGCATGCCAGAAACCTATGATTGTGGGTTCGAATCCCGGTTCACCCCGATTATGTTTCTGGGTTTGTCAGCACCATACTCGTACTCGTGGGTTTCACCGAAGTGGTAAACGTCTGAGACCTGCATCACTTCGGGCTTTCCTCCCACATTAAGCTGACACACCGCGATATAACTGGAATACTGTTAAAAGTGGCGTTTAACCCAACTCACTCACTCTAAATCTTCTACGTCTTCTTTTTCATTTGTTTTCAAGATCCGGCTTCGATTCCCGACATGAGTACAATGTGTGAAGCCAATTTCTGGTGTCCCCCGCCATGATATTGCTGGAATAATGCTTAAAGCGGCGTAAAACCATACTCACTCACTCACTCATTTGTTTTCAGTGTTTATGAATTTGTTCCATTGAAGATTAATCTATAGGCCTTCTTTTGGCATGTGACGAACTATTCATAATAAGGAAAATATTATATTATTATCATAAACATTGTAGATTTCCTCACCTGTGAATGAGTTGCCGTGTGAATAACCCTAATATGAGAATAATAATAATTATGCTTGGACATTTTATCATTGCAACTTGGAAAATTGCGTAGATTTATGAGTGCAATAATTGTGAACGCGATGTTAAACCCCATTGGACCTCACAGCACCTCACTTCTAATCCCGAAATGTTGGTTTCCAGGAGCGACAGGACTCGATGGATTGATGCCGTGACTCCAGTACAGACGTCAGAAACAGAAAGAATTTATGAAGACTGGGGTGAGTGGCCCAAATACCACACTTGTCCATGTCTTTACTCTACCCCGGCCACCTCAGTGGAATGGCATAGAGGTTAACTGTATAATAACTCTACCCCACCTCAGCGGAATAGCATAGAGGTTAACTGTATAATAACTCTACCCCACCTCAGTGGAATAGCATAGAGGTTAACTGTATAATAACTCTACCCCACCTCAGTGGAATAGCAAAGAGGTTAACTCTATATAATAATTCTACCCCACCTCAGTGGAATAGCATAGAGGTTAACTTTATAATAATTCTACCCCACCTCAGTGGAATAGCATAGAGGTTAACTGTATAATAACTCTACCCCACCTCAGTGGAATAGCATAGAGGTTAACTGTATAATAACTCTACCCCACCTCAGTGGAATAGCATAGAGGTTAACTGTATAATAACTCTACCCCACCTCAGTGGAATAGCATAGAGGTTAACTGTATAATAACCCTACCCCACTTAAGTGGAATAGCATAGAGGTTAACTGTATAATAACTCTACCCCACCTCAGTGGAATAGCATAGAGGTTAACTGTATAATAACTCTACCCCACCTCAGCAGAATAGCATAGAGGTTAACTGTATAATAACTCTACCCCACCTCAGCAGAATAGCATAGAGGTTAACTGTATAATAACTCTACCCCACCTCAGCAGAATAGCATAGAGGTTAACTGTATAATAACTCTACCCACCTCAGCGGAATAGCATAGAGGCTAACCCTATCTACAAACTGAAAGAGTTGGAAGAATGATGTTGCATGATAAATAAAATCTCATCCTCGTGACTTTTGATATCAAATACATGTATCAAGCCTGGGAGTTTTTCCGCTTTGATCAACTCGTGTTGATATATTTGATTTCCAAAGACACTTGGGTGAGATTCTCTATATAATAAAGGACTGTTTTTATGAACCTGAAAAGAACAACATTGAACGAGAAAAAAGTCCAAATGTCGATTTTTATATCCATAAAATCAAGTATTGACTGTATATAAAGACTATTATTGTTTTATTATTGCAACAATGTAATGGCAGACAATTCCTTTTTTTTCAAGTCTGAAACATAGTTATATTTTTTATTACTTTCCATTTGCTTGTCATGCCAAAAGCCTGGGTTTTATTCTCCACATGGGGACATTGTGTAAAGCCCAATTCCGGTGTCCCCACTGTGATAATGCTGGAATATTGCTAAAAATGGTGTAAAACCCAACTCACTCACTCACTCATTATAGAGGAAAAGTCATCTGCTTGTACAGTTATCTTCTTTAGCTAGATGATGCTGCCATGTCAGTATTGCAGAGTATACCGGTAGACAACTGTGAGTGAACCTTCGTTATCAGTGTAACCCAGTGACATGACGAGGCTGCAGGTGCTTGGGGTGGAGGGTGGGTGTTCAGGGTGGGTGTTCAAGGTGCTAGAGGTTGACTGGGTGTATGCAGGTGATGGATGGGTACTGCATAAGGCCATGTCAGTATTGCAGAGTATACCGGTAGACAACTGTGAGTGAACCTTCGTTATCAGTGTAACCCAGTGACATGACGAGGCTGCAGGTGCTTGGGGTGGGGGTGGGTGTTCAGGGTGCTAGAGGTTGACTGGGTGTATGCAGGTGATGGATGGGTACTGCATAAGGCCATGTCAGTATTGCAGAGTATACCGGTAGAAAACTGTGAGTGAACCATCGTTATCAGTGTAACCCAGTGACATGACGAGGCTGCAGGTGCTTGGGGTGGAGGGTGGGTGGGTGTTCAGGGTGCTAGAGGTTGACTATGTGTATGCAGGTGATGGATGGTCAAACAATACTGACTGACTCACTCCTTTGGTCAGCCTGTGAGATTTGACCTTGGACAATGTATATGGGTGAGGTGTTGCATGACACAGTATGGGCATGATCTACTTCCCCAAATCCATACATTTAGTGAAGCCAGTTTTTGGTGTTTCCATGGTGATATTACTGCTTAATTGCTATATTGGACATTGTTCAATGTGAAAGATGCTGTCAAAGGCCACATTTCGCAAAGCGATCTCAGTGTTACTATGAACTTTTTCATGGATTTCAGATATGTAAGACCGCCTCCGTGGTCTAGTGGTAGAGCGTCGGCCCGGAGAGCGGAAGGTCCGGGGTTTGATCCCCGGCCGCGTCATACCTAAAGACGTTAAAAGATGGTACTTGTTGTTACCCTGTCTCGGCATTACGGGGCTAAAACAAGGACTGGTCGACTCGTAGTCAGTATACTGTGTCTGAGTGGTGTATTTCGGACCATTGCAACATTTGCAAAGCATGTGTTCCATAAACTAGGCGTTGATAGATATTTTTCAAATCTTTTCATGTTTTTTAATCAAGGCACTAAACTGGTTTGATGCATTTTGCGAGGTAGGACCTGTTTTATTACAATTACAATCAGATCGTTTTGACTGGGTGCCATCATTTTGTTTGAAGTAAATGCAAGTGTTATGAGTGGTGGAACCTGATTGGTTAGTAGAAGGGACATAGAAGGGACTCACTCACTCATCAACCCACCCACCCATCCACCCACCCACCCTCCCTCCCTCCCTCCCTCCCTCACTCACTCACTCACTCACTCACTCACTCGTTGTGTTGCAGACTGTCCCCAGGTGCAGTGTGTCAAGAAGTACGTGGCCCAGGAACCGGACGAGCTGAGTCTGGAGGAGTCTGATGTGGTCAACGTCTACAAGAAGACTGAGGACCGTGAGTACTTCCTCGTACATTTATGAGGGGCGGTCGGGTAGCCTAGTGGTTAAAGTGTTCGTTCGTCACGCCGAAGACCCGGGTTCGATTCCCGACATAGGTACAATGTGTGAAGCTCATTTCTGGTGTCCCCCGCCACGATATTGCTGGAATATTGCTAAAAGCGGCGTACAACCATTCTCACTCACTCATACATTTATGGCTCCCCTGGGGATTCTGGTTAGAATTGGTCCCCAGCAACATATGCCTGTCGTTAGAGACGACTTAATGGACTGGGTTTTCCTTGTGCCCGACAGCATGGATCATTGCTCACATTAATCACTGGATTGCCTGGTCCAGACTGAATTATTTACAGGTTGCGGCCATACAGCTGGAATATTGCTGACTGTGTCTTTAAACAATATTTATTATTCAATGATATATTCCGAAGGAAGAGAATTCATGGATGTCAACTTCTTTATTATGAGGAACACAACGTTTCGGGGTATATGATTACTCCTTCATCAGAGAATATTCTTACTCACATGATGAAGGAGTAAGTATATACTCCGAAACATTAAGTTCCTCACAATAAAGAAGTTGACATCCATAAATTCTGTGTATTGCTTCTAAATGCCAATCAGTCTGTATTCAAAGACCTACTAAGCAATATTAGTACTGAGGCTCATTCAAGTCAATGTGCTACAATATGGTAGTCATGATGATCTGAGCATGAAGATACACCTGTGTACCACATGAGACATGTATTTCAAATTCATAAACGGTCCAGAAAGAATGATAGATTTTTATCATTACAACCAATGTAAAAGCCAGCTCGGAATATATTCTTTGAATACAGTTTGTATTTTTAAGGGACTAGCAATTCAATATGCCCAGTTCTGTCATGGCTGTATGAAGTTAAATGTTTTTCTTACTTATTTGCCAACTTCTAGATAGCCAATCAAACAGTTACCGTATTCGACGTAATAAGCGCCCCGGGCGCTCTCAAAATTAGAAATAGGGGCCTCTTGTTAGAAACAGTTGAAAGATAAGTTTCGTGGTTTATGCTGACAGCCTGAAATGTTTCTTTACGACAGATATATTTTTCCAGAATTTAATTGCCCCTAATTAAGGGTGCATATAACACATTATTATTATTATTCGCGAAAAAATAAGTCTTGTGTACATCGATCAATCGGAAGGGGTGCCAATTGGGATTGTGCACTAGCCAATATATTAGCAAATATTGCCGTGGGCGCTTATTGGAGCGGGGCGCTTATTACATCGAATACGGTATTCACTGTGTAGGGTAACACGACAGTGTTTAATGTCTGTGTCTCCTCATGGTTTTCCTGCTACATTAATCTAGGTGGAGGTATATAACTTTAATATTGTTCAAATTAAGGTAAGACAATACTCTCACAGAGGGCACGGGTGGCCCAGTCGTCTAAGGCGCTGCAATTCGCTGTGCAGAGTTGCGTCCCTTGGGCACGCCAGAAACCTATGATTGTGGCTTCGAATCCCGGATCGCCCCGATTATGTTTCTAGGTTTGTCAGCACCATTCCTGTGCTTGTGGTGAACGTCTGAGACCTGCATCACTTCGGGCTTCCCTCCCACATTAAGCTGATGTTACTGGAATACTGTTAAAAGCGGTGTTAAACCCAACTCTCTCACTGAATACTCTCACATCTTTGTGTCTGTATGTGTTTTTCTGATATACATCCTCTTTTGTTGACGGGGCGGTCAGGTAGCCTAGTGGTTAAAGCGTTGGCTCGTCACGCCGAAGACCCTGGTTCGATTCCCGACATGGGTACAATGTGCGAAGCCCATTTCTGGTGTCCTCCGCCGTGATATTGCTGGAGTATTGCTAAAAGCGGCGTAAAACCATACTCACTCACTCACTCTTTTGTTGACACAGATTGGTACGAGGGAGAGCGCATTCGGGATGGAGAACGAGGCTGGTTCCCGGCATGCTACACAGAGGAAATCATGAACTCGCACGTTCGATCCCGCAATCTACGCCTGAGGTACCGGCTGCTGTTGGCGTCACAACAGTACACAGAAACAGCCGCCAAATAGTGACGGGACTATCACTGACAATGCAAATTAGTAGAGACACGATTTCAGGATGCTGCTAAGCATCCACATCCGACATTTCATGATTAAGTTACAGATGCTACAGATGAGGTCATGTGCTGCATGTTTCATGATTTCAAGTTTTGCATCATATATGCAGTGAAGCACATGAGGACGATTATTGCCAAGAGGGGCATCCTTTAAATGTCATGTGATCAGAAACTGTGTACAAACTAGTCATGTGACCTGGGACAGTCTTTTGACATGTCATGTGATGTGCTGGTCGCAGTGGTATCACTGAGGATTGAGTTGCACACAACTTACATATCAAACACACATGACAATGTTTTCATGTTGATTATGTGAAATTATTTTGTTGATGTTGAGCATCAGTGGATTCAAGCTTCCTGTGGATGTAACGTTGCTTCTTGATTGTTTGTTCTCCCAAGATTCGGCTGGATCTTGTTCCTATGTCAAAGTCTCTGTGAAAATCTTGATCAGTATTTGTACATTGTGTGCTGGAATGTGATACCAGCTGGAGTGATGTTGCGGCACTTGGTGCGGTGAGGGATGTACAGCGCACAATGAGGGGGGATGGTCTGGTGAACAGGAGGGATGCGTGAGGTCAGACTGACCAGTGTGTGTGAGTGGTCAACTGCTTGTGAAGATAAGACAAGGTTTAGTACCTTTGATGTGTCGAGAGACGTGATGGATGGATGTGTCAGTTGGACCTGTGTTTTTAGTTTACAGCATGTGAAGATTAAGCATGGTCAAGTACCTGTGATGAATCCAGGTCGTTGGTGGACGTAGGCGAGGTCAGTCTGACCTTTAATATGCGAATGGTGAACAGTATGTGAAGATTAAACATGGTCAAGTACCTGTGATGAATCGAGGTCATTGGTGGACGTAAGCGAGGTCAGTCTGACCTTTATGATGTGAATGGTGAACAGTACGTGAAGATTAAACATGGTCAAGTACCTTTGATGCGTTGAGGTAAATGATTTATGTATGTGAGGTCAGTCTGACCTTTATGTGAGAATGGTTAACAGTATGTGAACATTAGACATGGTCAAGTACCTTTGATGCGTCAAGGCACATGATGGACGGATGTGTCAGTTTGAGGGATAAACAAGGTTCATGATGAACAGTAATCTACAGTAATCTGAGTCAGCCAACACCAACAGCTGTGGGATGCTACGTGCATGAGAATGGATAGCCAGTATGTGTTCAAGGTCAGCGTGATCTGAGTTATGGAATTGGGTCAGCTACAGTTATGTCTCTTCAAGGTCAGTCTGACCTGTATGATGGGATTGAGCCAAGGCATGAAAGAGCCACAAGGTCAAGGTCAGCATGACGTGAGGGATAGAATTGAGGCAAGGTATCATTGGTCCTCAAGGTCAAGGTCATCTTGACGTGAGGGATGGAATTGAGCCAAGGCATCATTGGTCCTCAAGGTCAAGCTAACCTCAAGGCTCTAAAAAGTTGGCCAAAATGTCCCCCAAATGTTCAGCTGATATAAATCAGATGCGTTAGGTTAATGTATCCATTTCTTCAGTCTGACCTTGCTGATCTGTTTGGTCCAAGATGACACAAGAGTCAAGAAATGTCAATCTCCAAGTTCTGAGAGTATAAATCCAAATGATGCCATCTTTTCTGAAGTTCAACCTGGAACACAAACTGAATTCTCATCCACTTTTTCATATTAATTTTTTATAAAACGTTGGATAAAGTAGATGTGAAAAATAGTTGCTCAACTAAACAAAGGACAGATTACGTCCATGGATGTTCCATGAAGCAGCTGGAGGAAGAACAGATGAAGGAGAACCTTCAGAAACTTTCACCCACTTGCTGCTACCTACGGAGCTGATCATCTTAGTCATGCAAAATGAAAATGCAGTCACTTTCCTTTCATGACTGGAAGACGTTGATAATCTGGCAGAAATATGTTTGTGTTTCTAGTTATTGTTGCTATTAGTGCCTATTTGCACCAAAGGTGAGATAACATGTGAGGGACTTCTTGAAGGGTTCCATTTCTGGTTACCATGGTTACTGTGCCAAGGGTGCCAAGCCAAATATTTCGTAAGCTGTGCTACACAGATAAATGAATATGTTATTGCCTAAGGACATGTAGCACAAGTTTACAGTATGTATATAGTCAGTGGACAACAACACCAGACAATGGTTAATTTGGCATTGATGGTTTAATGGTATTTTACATCAATCACAAATAGTCAAAATAATTATTTATGATTATTATCACGTAAATATGTATTTATGTTTGTAATCAAGTAATATATATGTCAGAAATATTCAGTTTCAACTGTGGCTAATTAGGAAGAATATTTACCACTGCTGTGGTTAGTTAGGGATTACAATGCTGTATTTAAGATTTTTAGTGCCATGACCTTGACCATTATTAGGTGAACTACTTTGTGGTACAGCACCCATGTACCTGCATCAGACAATTATGTGAGTTGTCCGCTGAAGGTTATCAGTAAATTGAACCTGATCTTGTCCTAGTTTGGCGAGGATCTGCTGGTCCTAGGTTTTAAACCCAGACCCTGATAATTATCATATGTCTTTACATGCCCGTTTTCATGGGTTTCACCAAATTTACAAAGACGATATCTGGCTGTGGTCACATAGTGTATTGAACAAGTGGAAAATATATAGCAAAAATTAGCCAGCTTTTTATATAAAGACAACCTAAATTATGTCAAAATGTAAGCGTTGCAGCATTTTGTATTTTCTAAATATTAAACCTCAAATAGTTGTTCCCAGCAGATTTGATATCTTTCAACTAAAACTAGAAAATGTGATAATGACTTTAACAAATCTATCAAGGGCACTAATTATGTTAAATAAGGTAACAGTGTTCGAAATTAAGGGGGTCAAGGAACCCCACCGTATTATCAGGGTTGTGACAAGAACCTCTTGACACTCATGCTTAATTTCGAACACTGAGTAACAACCTATTTTCTCCCAACAAGGTCAGTGTTTTATCACTGGTATATGTGTGTTCTGTACAGAGTGCTGGTTCTAGGGAACAGTGGTACAATGTTACTCCAGACTGTCAATATTTCACTGGCTGTTGTAGACGATGTTCCTGGCTTATGCAGTGTGTACACATGATGGTGCTCATGACGTCATTGTTGATGTTTTTGTAATTATTATAACCAGGCAATTCCAAAAGGTCTGTATGACCGTAAATCAGTCACTTATGGACTTGGCGACTGGTCCACTTCTTCCTGGGGGTGGTAACCAGGCATTTCCAAAAGGTCTGTATGACCGTAAATCAGTCACTTATGGACTCGGCGACTGGTCCACTTCTTCCTGGGGGTGGTAACCAGGCATTTCCAAAAGGTCTGTATGACAGTAAATCAGTGACTTATAGACTCTACGACTGGTCTACTCCTTCCTTGGGGAGGGGTGGTCCTGTGGTTCAGGTGTTCAGTTTCTGACAAAACACATGGGTTTGATTCCCATGGTCACAAAGTTGGTTTTGGTGTCCCATTTGATATAATACTTCAGTTATGAAAGTGGGGAGTAAATACACCCACTCACTCAATGTTCACTTACTTTTCTAAAGGTGTGGCCACATTTAAGGTGTTAAACAACAGTTATTCATTTACCCGTTTGACATGTAAGGTTCTGAATGGTTACCTATGTATATTAACCCTATGTTGCCAAGCTGTGCCCATTGAGTCTGCAGACTGGTCATGTTATGTACTTCTCCATGCTGTTGAGACTTAATGGGTAAAAGCCAGGGAACTACTTGTTTTGTGAATCATCCAGTCTCTGATATCATTCCTTCTTGATGATTTTTACCTGTATGTATTGATTTTTGTAACAAGTTTTGTGATATGATGACGATTTTGCTGATTGTGGAAAAAACCCTGATTACCTCAGGTCCAGGAATAACACTCACCGATAAGTATGTTTCTCCATGGAGACATTGATATGCATTTAACAAGAACATTGTAAGAAAACACCTGCTTTGTCTGAAGTGAACTGGAAAATAGTCCAAGGTAATGATGCAGTAATGAACATTGTATTTATTTGGGGGCAGACGTCTTAGATGAACTAATTTTGATGATTCAGCATTTTTGATATTACTTTTCTAGGTGTTATGGAAGAAACCGATGGATTTGGGGAAGTTTGTTGATTGGTATAACATTAATATGATGATACCTTGATTTATGAATCTTCATTGAATTTTGATGTTTGATCTCTGAAGTCTAACAATGACAACCTACAATATGCCCACCAAGCTATTCCTCAAGGTCATCTGGAGGTCGCAATGCCTTGTTCCTCAAGGTCATCTGGAGGTCGCAATGCCTTGTATCTCATGGGCATGAAGAAACCACAAACATATATGTCATGTTTTTTGTCCATTATTGTGTTCATCTTTTGATACTAGGATTTAATATTTTTCAAAGTCAAATGTCTTTTTTTAGTCTTATTTTTGACAGCAATTCCTGAGATAATTTGTTGTTTTTGGATCAGAGCCAATTTAAATGAAATTACACGTGCGATCCAGGCATGAATTTTCTCAGGTATTGCTATGGTTTATGTTTGTGAATATCAAGAGGTATTTAGAAATGAATACATCGATGAGTAAAATACAGGGTCTAATTGATTGATGAATTTATTTTGATCAGCTGTTTAGTTTAGTAGCTGAAGCATATTAAGTCTTAAGTTATTACTGTTCACAACATTTGTAAGTACCGTATTCGACATAATAAGCGCCCAGGGCGCTCTCAAAATTAGAAATAGGGGGCTCTTATCAGAATATTATTTTGGTGAAAAACAACAGAGTTGAAAGATCGTAAATTTCGTGGTTTATGCTGACAGCCTGAAATGTTTATATACGACAGATATATTTTTCCAAAATATAATTTCCCATAATTAAGAATGCATATGACACACGTAATATACACGAATATATAAGTCTTGTGTACATTGATCAATCGAAATGGGTGCTGATAGCAATTGTTCACTAGTCAATATACATGTATTAACAAATATCGCCGTGGGTGCTTATTAGAGCGGGGCGCTTATTACGTCAAATATGGTATAATAATTGGCTGAGGGCAAACAAGATTAATTATTTTCTTGATTTAAATGCCAAGATGCAGGAGGCCAAAAAAGAAACTTTCAGGATTGATTTGGGGTGAATGTCTTCTAAAGAAAAACCTTGAAATAAACCTGTTAAACAATTTTTGGGAAATAAACCACTGTAATGTCTTCTGAAAAACTTAGATAAAATGATGTTTAATGAAAATATGTATTTTTTAAGATATAGTGTCACCCCGGACTTGTATTACCTATATAGAAGTCCATGGTGTCTCTCATCTATGAGGGGGGGTCAGGTAGCCTAGTGGTTAAATCATTCGCTCATCACGCCGAAGACCCGGGTTCGATTCCCGACATGGGTACAATGTGTGAAGCCCATTTCTGGTGTCCCCCGCCGTGATATTG